CGCTTTGCGGTCTGGGCGATTTCAGAGCGAGGCGCGAGTCCCTCATCCTGTTCTGCGGTGGGGCCGCCGCCGCCGCCTCTGTTCGTTGTCTCGGCGTTGTGCTTGTGACGCTCGCTCGAAGACTCGGGAAAAGCTGTGCCGCGGTTGTTTCAAGCCCGCTGCGACCTCGACTCTTTCTGGGTACGTGTCTGAATCATTTTGTTTTGGGTAAGCCCATGCGAGCGATGCGCATTCTTTTTTCCCCCTGGGGGGAAGGGGAGGGGCGCACTAGACATGCAGTTTGCAGCTCCACCGGGCCACCGGGCCCAAAGCGGTTGGTTTTGTAACATTTGCGGTTTTAAACCTCATGCGTCTACGCGTGTATTGTCGAAGCCATGCACGTATGGATTTACCCGCATGGGCGCGAGCACCCGACTCGGCTCGAAGGCCGTCGGGGTCGAGCAGTGACCGCGGCCCCCCTCACCTCCTCCGCTGCCCTAGTTGGAAATCGGAGCATAGGTCTTATCAGTGGCGGGCTGTTTTTCAATCCCTCGACTTTTTGAGGGTCGGGGGACGACGTCGGGGTGGCGTGGAATATATGTGTTCCCTTGTTTTCCCGGGGAAGCAACGAAAGGCGTATGCACCAGGATCCCGTATACACCAGGATCTGCTTTCTTGTGCGAGTTTCGGTGCGGGGTGACTGGACAAAGCGTCGGTGTATAGAGTTCGGCTCCTTACGCACATTTGGCTCGCATCGGTTCTTATCTTAGACAGACAGACAAACAGAAGCCATGCGCCAGCCCATTGCACGGTGCGTGCCTTGGCAGAGTGATGCGGGCACGCCAAACGAGTGCATGCAGAAGAGGAGCAACACGCCAAATACATGATGTGCTACAGACATTCCAAATTCGTGCAGGTGCCAGGAGGAGAAGGAGGAGGACGGCGACGACTGAGGACGACGACGAACGAAGGATGACGCTTCTTGCCTTGCCTTGTTCCAAATGACGCCTCCCCAGGGGGGTTCTGCGGCGTCTGGGGAAGCACGTGGCCCAATGGTTTGCTCGCCGCGCCGATCCCCGCCGCGTCGCTGCGCGCGCGTCGCTGCGCGCGCAGCCGCGACGCCAAGCTTGTCTGCGTGGTCGGGGGCCCCTCGTGTCGTTGTCGTATCGGGCTGCCTGCTGCGGGTCTCGCCACCGTGCCAACCCAGAATTTGGGTGGCGCTTATTCGAGGGTTGGCCGTGCGGGGTGTGTTTGCCGCCGTTTTGGGGTCGTCCTGGGGTTGGGCTGAAGTCGGGCCTGTCCCTCTACGGGGCGAGTATCGAAACATAGTCAAACTATAGTCGGGGGACGACTCGTGTAGATTTTTTTCTTTTTGGGGTTATGTTTCGACTATTTCTAATCTTTCGTGGCAAATTGGCCTGTAGGGGGACAGGCCCGATTTAAGGTTGGGCCGTCATCGGCTCCCCGGGCCGGTCTCGGGTCCTTCCTGAGGCTCGCTTGGGCCAGGCCGCCTTGGAGCGGCTCTGTCAGGAGGAAGCAAAAACACACACAGACACAATGAATCGTCGATTCGCCAGAAAATATAGGAACATATGGGAAGTGGGGGGGAGACAAAAACCCAGAACATATGGGAAAATATGGGGGAATCCTGGTATGTGTGTCCATTTACTTGTGTGTCCCAAGGCCCCTTCCTTCTGGGCTATGAAGGTGCCCCTTTGAGCTGTCTTAGGGCCGCTCTGGAGGATCCTTGGGCCATGTCGGGGGCCTGGTTGGCCGTCTTGTGGCCGCCTGGAGCGGAAGGACGCCCGAACAAACATGAAGTCAGAACGTTTCAGGCATTAATGGGAAAGTGGTTGTTCTTCAAAGGCCCACTCTGTAAGAACGGTTTTTTGAAGGCAGATTTGCCTTCAAAGAACCGTTATTTGAAGGCAGATCTGCCTTCAAAAAACCGTTCTTACAGAGTAGACCATTTTTTGAAGGCAGATCTGCCTTCAACAAACCGTTCTTACGGGATAACACGTGTTACCCCCTCAGACCCCCCCTCCGTAACCGTAACGCTGGGAAGCCGGCCACAGGCGTGCATTGTTGCAGCTTCCACCGGACACTGCAAGTGCACAAGCGCTCCTTGCGCAAGCAAGCATCGACGTGCACGCAGGGCCAGCGCACTGTCGTGCACACGAGGCTCTCTCGGGCCGCTGTTTGGACATCTGGGGTCGTCACGAGGGCATTCTGGGCCGCCTTGGGGCCAACTGGTTTCGTCGTGGATGGGGAGACCAACCCACGGCGACACAAGTTGGACCTCTCCTGGACTGCTACTCCCCGGACCTCTCCGGGGGAACGTTCTGATCAGGATTTCGAGGCGAGTCCAAACGGTGGCGACGAGAGCTTCCGAGGAGGCCCGAAAAAGAGGAAGACGAGGGGAGGGTAGAGATATGGGCCCCTTTCCCTCCTCTGAGTGGAGGAATCTTCGGCCATCTTGGCGGCCTCGGCGGCCTCCTTGTCTCGGCCGTCTTGGAGCCCA